TAAGGAAATTAAAATGTGTTTATCAGTAACCAGTTCCCACAATTACAAACATATCCTTCCTAGTGGCTATCATGCCAGCAGGGCAGCACTGCTGCCTTCCTGTCAGGGCTGTCGAAAAGTAGAATTGGGTGGAATTGTGCTGTCTTCTGACCAAGGCCTTCATACTGCCCCAGCTTCTGGAGGCCCACAGAGCCCCTGGTTGGGACAGGGGCCTCATAGTGCTGGGTTTTGACCAAAGCGTCCTCCTGTTATCTCCTCTGCAGGGTGAATTTTCTTATAAGTGTTATTTGAGCAAAGGATTTAACAGCTGAAAAGATATTTGAAAACCACTGGCCTAACATAAGAGTCTGGACCACTGCATGATAAAAGTTCACCTAAGAGCTCCTGAAGTCTGCCCTGGCTTCCTTGAGAAAGAAGCCCTGTAGTACATGAGTCACAAAGGGACAACTCAAAAAACCCCAGGCCAGGAACTAGGAGGCCTGAGATTTCTCTCTCCTTTGCCACAGATCAACTCTGTCACCTTGAGAAAGTGTCTTGGGCCCTGAGATGTCTTACCTCATCTATAAAATGAGAGTGATGGTGTTTACTAAGAACTTGTCCAGCACCAAGAGTGTTTTGATTCTATTTCTGGCCTCAGTGATGGCAGAGAATTTACCATCTGTCAAAAGAAGGAACCATTGGAGGAAGAAATGACCATGCTTTCGATAGAGGAAACGTTTGGTTCAGGGCAAGTGGCTCCATGTTGAGAGCCACCTTCTCTCTGCAGCATGCCCAGGTCAGGGGAGGGTGGTGCATGCCGGCATCTGAGCAGGTTGCTGAGAGGCTCACTTTCATGTGAAGGTCATCAGAAGCACCTGTGATGTGGCTTGCGGTAACAGGTCTAGCAGAGGTGGGCTGGAAGATGGTGAGCTATCTTGTCAGGGAGGAAAGCCTTACAAATACTAGCAAAGGCAGTTTGTATGAACAGAAGCTATAAAAAAAAAGACAATGACATTTTTTTAAAAACTGTACTTCATTAGCACAGGTTTGGCCTTACCAACACAGGAAAGGCATTTTTACACTAATTAGTCATTGTGAAAAATTAACCTTGGAATTACGTTTAAAATTCACTATTTGTAACTGAGTGGAAAATATGAACAAAAACTGCTGAAGATGTTGCCAACCTTTAATGACCAGGTGTCATCCTGTTGCAATAAGCTTTCCATGAAAATGTTAAAAACTGCTTTTTGATATCTCATTTAGCAATTAAGATTCTTTCATATTTCTTAGAATTATGTAATAATTTTATGTTTTTTAGAATAAACTCAGCAACAATGTACAAAGATATCCTAATCTATATGGACACACAAAGGAAAATATAAATTTAAATCTTTTTGTTCCTTGCAACTCTTTCCATAAATGATCAGTCAGTTCCTTGTTATTTAAAACTTTAATTTTGGACAGTCAAAATTGTTACCTCTTGAGTGATTTGGATTGGGTAAGTTGTTTGACAGCCGTGGAAGCAGAGCATTCATTTCAACACCTGTTGACTGTCTGTGTATGAGACACCGCTCAGCATCTGCGGGGATACAGCCAAGCCTGTCCCAGAGAACATTCACTCCTGGGAGTGAGGTCAGGTCTTCTGAGAGGACGACAGGTCTCCTTGGGTTAGTCTGTGAAGGGGATTGGGGCAACCCACAGAAGCAGCTTAGAGGAGATAAGACTTTCAGTTCACAGAGAGAGATTGCGACAAATATTCCAGGCTGGTGGAACCAAGAACAAGACACAGGGGTGGGCAGAGGTGTGTGGCATTGACTCTTGGAATAGGCTAATAAAATACTGAATTACAACCATCCCTCAGTATCCCCAGGGGAATGGTTCCAGGCGCCTTCTCAGATGTCAGAGTCCACAGATGCCCATGTCCCCAGATACAATGATGTCTTTGCAGGTAGCCTATGCACATCTTCCAGTATAATTTAAATCATGTCTGTATTACTTGTAATACCTGGTGCAGTATAAATGCATGTGAATAGTTGTTATACTAGCCTCATTTTCTCTTCACATCTGTTTAGAAAGTTCAGGTGCATAGACATATTCAGATCTTAAATGTAGACATCTCTTCATTGTTTCCCAGTGTTGTGTTCATTGCAGATGTAAAGTTGACAGGAGTCTAATTCTCATCCCTTCCTAGTGATGAGTCTTTTCATGCTCTCAAGTGCTTGGAATTTTTTTTTTAATCCTTGTCATTATAAAAATTTCACCAGGATTTTTGGGTATAAGTCTTTCCCTTTTAATCTCAGCATTTTGTGGAACCTCCCACCTGGGGATGCATGCCTTATTTCATCACCTTCAGTGCCTCTGTCATCTGTGTGTCCCGGAACAGGGGCTTAGCAGTCGGGACATGGCCCTGTGTCTCATGATGATGCATGTGGATGCTCCATTTCCTGGTCTATTTACTGTTCTCTAGGATTCTTTGAACTCGTCTCCTAGGTTAAAGCTTTGGTCCCCACAGCATCTAATTTTAAGTCCACCCATAAAGTGAATTTTTTCAGTGATCATATTTTTAATTTCCAAAATTTTTTGTTTTCCAGTTGTTCCTTTTATGATAGACTATTCTTGTTTTAAGTCTGAGATATTCTTAACTTGAGCATACAAAATAGAGGTTTTATTTGTTTTAATTCTGCCCCATGAATTGTATTTTTGTCCATTACTCTGTGATGACTGTTTTGTGTTGATTTTTCTCAGTTCTTTTCTTTTGTGGTGTATTTTCCTCCTGTGACCTCAAATTTCTTTTTGACCCATATGCTGCCCACATCAGACTGGAACTCTGCTTGAATTATTACAGTCTCAGGCAGGAGCCTTCATGGCATTCAGCAGGTCTCCCCTGGAAGACCTGCCACTGTATGTAAAGACTCTGGTGACCTGGTTTCCTACATACAATGTGTTGTGACCATTTTCCAATGCCAAAGAGTCTAACATACTACTTTCACCGGTTGCATAGTTTTCATCATTATATTGTTTATTCATGCTCTTATTCATGGGCATTTGATTTTTCCAACTTTTCATTAAATAACATTATGAATAACATCTGTGCATGCATTTTTATGTATCTGATAATTTGCATAATGTTAATTCTGAGAGTGAAGTGTGTAGGTCTTGAAAAACTTCTGATAGACATTGCTCAGTCATCTTTTAGAAGATCGTAACAACCCTCACATAAAATTACCTTGTACCTCACACTCTTGAGAGTGATGGATAATGTTCTTTTTAATCTTTGCTAAATGATATATATGAAATAGCATTTCATTACTTTTTGAATTTGCATATTTGGACATTTTCATGGGTTTCTTTTGTGAATTGACTCTTGATGTCCTTCACCTGTTTTCTGTTCACCATTTTGTTTTGCCTTGAGAGACTTTATTTTGGGAGTATTAACCCTTTGTCATGTGTGTTGCAAGTTTTATTCTCAGTTTGTGCCTTTAAGTTTTTTATTATGTACCTTTTGCTAAACATGCTTTGATGTTGTATGTATAAAGCTACCCACGCCCCTGTCCAGATGAAATTTCATTTTTATACTTGGCTTGCTTATGATTTCTAGCTTTACATTAAGCCTTAAAGTCCTTGTAAATTTACTTTGGAATGTGATTTGAGTAGGGACACATCTTTGTTTTTCTCTGAGATAATAATCAGCCAGCACCTTTTTAATTGATTGGTCATTCATCCTTTTCCCACCAATTTGAAATCTTGCCTTTGTCATATACTAAGCATTTTATATGTATGTGTATATCTGCCTAAAAATAACGTCCCAGACACATTTTAGAATTCCTGAACTTCCTAGTGAGCCTGCTCTTACTCTTCTGTTCCTAGAAAGCCCTGGAGTTGTAATACTTAACCTGCTGTGTTAGAATCCTATCCACTGACTGATTATTATACTAATTCTTAAAAATTAAAGCTTCCTCCCCAGATATTCCCCTTATCAGAGCATTCTGTTATCAGCCAAAGATTTGTTTTTGTCAGCTCACAACCTGCCAGGAGTAAAGGCAAATAGTGGTAAGTTGAGGTTCAGGCATTATGATTCTGAAGAGTTCTGAGAGGTTTCAGAGGTAGGAAAGTTTTACCATCTTCTTTTGTGGTGGGGGAAATACTAGAAAACTTTGAAAAAACAAAGAAAATAACAGTATTTGAACTTTGAAAAGCAGCCAGAATGCTCCTAAGTTAGCAATATTTCACAAATTACACCTTGTACTGGAACTTCTCTAAGAAATGCACAGTATGTTGTCCAATACTAAAGACTCATTGACTTTTAAATGGATAAAACTACAGCACTTTGAGTCAGACCTGGGAGTTAATCGTAGTTTCTGAATGCCACTGGTTACTGGAGCAGGCCTACCCACGTGTGGCCATTACGTTCTGTGTCCTGCTGTTACAGGGCTTGGGCCACGCAACTGGTGAGGCCCGATTTCACCATGAGTTTCCAGAAATGAAGGCATATTATGTCCTGGAGGTCAGGTGTGAAGTGTGTGTCCTCCTTTGTGAGCGACTGTAGCAAACTGACTTGGTGTAGGGATTTTGCTGAGAAAATCATTACTGATGTTCACAGAGCTGGCTAGTGGATCTAAGGCATGAACTTTAAGTTCTTCAGTTAGCTTCATGGCCTTCATTGAGTGTTATCTAATTATCCCTTTTCTTTTTTTCAGGCTCCTTTTGCACTAAATAAGTGTTTTCCTAAATGTGTTCTGTAGGGAATCATTGCCACAAGGTGCTCTGGAAGAGATCTCAGGGTCCCTGGTTAAGTCAGTTAAAGAAAGACTATGTACTGGATCCTCTCTAAGAAATGCACAATGTGTTGTCCAAAGGTTCTAAGATGTTTCCTTTACAGGGGAAAAAAAAATCCTTAATCTTTTGGGCTCATTTCTGGACATTTCTAGGAACTTTTTCAGGAAACCCAGTTGAACACCTGTATCAGCTGCTGTCCATACAAAGTTCTGAGGAAAGCCATGGTGTGTTCATCTTCTCTGCAGGATGGGTGCTGCGGACAATATCTACAAGGGACGGAGCACCTTTATGGAAGAACTGTCTGACACAGCAGAAATCATCAGAAAAGCAACACCACAGTCCTTGGTGATTCTGGATGAGCTGGGGCGCGGCACAAGCACACATGATGGGATTGCCATTGCATATGCCACGCTGGAGTACTTCATTAGGGATGTAAGTGCCTGCTTCTTAGGCAAACTCATCTTCAGTTAATGTTGACAGATCATAACTGTGTGTGTGTATGTGGTATTTTGACAGATATAAACAACGTGAATGTTTAAATCAAGCCAACTAATGCATCCATCACCTCATGTGTCATTCTTTGTGGTGAGACATTTGAAATGTGTTCTGTCAGTTATTTTGAAATATATAAAATCTTATTATTGACTGTAGTCATAATGCCTTCATGCAGTTCCTGCATGCCCTCTTGTACGTGGAAGACATATTCTATATAAATTATTTTCCTGAGCTCACTCTCTGTATACTCAGAATTGTCCTTACTGATTATAATTGGCCCTAGCCCTGCAGCTGATCATTAAATGCTGTTCGCTGAGTTCAGAGAGACTGACCCTAAGTAATGTTTGAGGTTGTTTGAGTTGTCTTCCTTTCTCTTGCCAAATCACAGTGAATCTAGTTGTATGAGGAAGGTATCCACCAGGACTGTGTTTTGTTGTTATTGTCCTTGGTGACCTCTGAATCAAAAGCAAGTCCCAACCACTTGCAGCCAGACTCTTGGAGGAAGGACAAGGATTGGTGCCATTTCTACTCTGGGGAGTACTTGTTCTCACTGACATCCTAAAAAGCTCAGTGTTCGTATCACTCTGGGTCCCTCTTTGACTCAGCAGCATCATTCCTCAGTGCACATCCCTTTTAAGAGTGCGTTTATGAGCTTCTCAGTGTGAAGTTGTTGGTGTCACACTTTCCATCCCTGCCACCTCTGTCCGACTCTCCTCTCCTGCTTGTTTTCTCTGTCTTTGTTCATTCTGGTTTCGGGCTGTCTGCCTCACTCATAGCTTCTACTCCAGAGCCTTGTCTCTTCTTCGGTCTTTCTTTTTCTATTTTCTCCTCATTTTGTTGTTCTTTTCTTTTTCTTTCTCTTCCTTCTATTTTCATTTCTTCCTATTTTTCTTAAACAGCCAGTAAAGCATGTTTTCTTTTATTTCTTTTTTTAAAAACCCACAAAAATAAATACTCTTTTTTTTTTTTTGAGTAGGAGTCTCATTCCGTCACCCAGGCTGGGGTGCAGTGGCACACTCACAGCCACTCCAGCGTTGACCTGCTTGCTGAGCTCCGACAATCCTTCCGCCTCAGCCTTCCAAGTAGTCAGAACTATAGGCACACACTACCATGCTTGGCTAATTTTTGATTTATTGTAGAGATGAGGTCTCACCAAGTTGCTTGGGCTGATCTCAAACCCTCTGGCTCAGGCAGTCCACTCACCTTGGCCTCCCAAAGTGCTGGGATTACAGGCTGAGCCACCAAGCTCAACCCCCTTTTTTTTTTTTTTAATAATTCGTGGTCCTCAGGGTTTTGAGTTTTTTGTTTTATTTTTATTTTTATTTATTTATTTATTTTTGAGTTGGAGTCTCACTCTGTCACCCAGACTGGAGTGCAGTGGCCGCTCCCGGCCATTGCAGCCTCGACCTGCTGGGCTCCGGCGATCCTTCTGCCTCAGCCTTCCAAGTAGCCGGAATTACAGGCAGGCGCTACCACACCTGGCTGATTTTTGATTTATTGTAGAGATGCGGTCTCACTAAGTTGCCCAGGCAGGTCTCGAACCCGCGGGCTCAGGCAGTCCACTCACCTCGGCCTCCCAAAGCGCGGGATTACAGGCTGAGCCACCGAGCCTGATCTTTTGTTTTATTTTTAAAGTATAATTTCCATTTAAGTTTTTTCCAGATCATTTTCCTTCAGTCCTTAGGGACTCAGCTCCTTACATGGCCTTTGGTGGTGGTGGTGGGGCAGCACCCACAGATCTAAATTGGAATGAGTGATTCAGTTCTTCTGATCCTCACAGGATCGATTCCTGACTACTTTGCCATGCATGGCACAACTCACATAGTCATGGAGTTTCACATAAAGCTTGAGAAGCATGTGGGTGTCCAAGACACTCACTTTGGAAATGTCCCTGATGGCTATACCCTCCATGTTTCAAATGACAAACTTCCTAGTGGCCTTGTCCTTGGTCATGTATCCAGTGCATTTGTACAGCAAATAGGTTGCATGTGGCTACAGCTATTCTCGGCACAACCATTGTTCCTTTTTTTCTTGTCATCTTGAAAGTGAAGACCCAAGAGAGACTCAGGTTTTGTTTAAACATTTATTTAGATGGCGTAGATAATGATGACATTTTCTCCTTTGAAATGAATACTTTAAAATTTTTCTTTTAATTTTTTAAAATTTATTTGCAAAAGGATGTAATTCTGGAACTTTTCTTTAATCATTATAAAAACTACATAGGAAAGCAATTGACTTTTGTATATTAACCTTGTATCCTGCTACCTTGCTTATTAGTTCCATTTTTGTATGTTTGTATGCTTGTGTGCGCACGTATGTCAGTTCTTTGGATGTTCTACATAGGCAACCATTTCATCTGCAAACAGAGACAGTTTTAGTTCTTTCCCGTCTATATCTTTTCTTGTGTTATTGCATTAGTTTAGGACTTTGAGGAAAATGTTGAAAAGAAGTGGTGAGCAAGAATATCCTTGCTTTGTTTCTGATCTTAGTGGGTAAGCATGGAGTTCCTCATGTATGATAAGTATGATGTTAGCTGTAGGGGTTTTTGGTTTTTTTTTTTGACGATATGCCTTATCAAGTTAAGGAAGTTCTCCTCCATTCCTAACTTACTAAGAGTTTTTATAATGAATGGGTGTTGGATTTTGTCAGATACTTTCTCTATACCTATTAATATAATAATATGATTGTTCTTCTTTAGCCTATTAATATGATTGTCAAATGTTGAGCCAGCCTTGCATTTCTGGGATAAACCCTGCTTGGTCATGAACTGTTATTCTTTTTATACACTGTTGGATTCATTTTGCTAATATTTCATTGAATATTTTTATATCTATGTTCATGAGAAATATTCATCTGTAGTTTTCTTATAATGTCTTCATCTAATGTTGGTATTAAGATAATGCTGGAACCGGGGTTGGTGGCTCAGCCTGTAATCCCGCGCCTTTGGGAGGCTGAGGTGAGTGAATTGCCTGAGCCCGCGGGTTCGAGACCCGCCTGGGCAGTGAGACCTCATCTCCACAATAAATCAAAAAATCAGCCGGGCGTTGGTAGCGCATCCCTGTAATTCCGGCTACTCGGAAGGCTGAGGCGGAAGGATTGCCGGAGTCCAGCAGGTTGAGGCTGCGGTGGCCGGGAGCGGCCACTGCACTCCAGTCTGGGCAACAGAGTGAGACTCCAACTCAAAAAAAAAAAAAAAAAAAAAAAAGATAATGCTGGGCTCATAGAATGAGTTAGGGAGTATTTCTTCTGCTCTTGTCCTCCGAAAGAGATTGTAGAAAATTGGTATAATTTTTTCCTTAAATGTTTGGTAGAATTCACCAATGATGCCATCTGGGCCTGGTGCTTTCTGTTTTGGAAGGTTATTAATTATTGACTCAATTTTCATAATGGAGATAGGCCTATCAGATTATCTATTTCTTCTTGTGTAAGTTTTGACTGATTGTGTCTTTTAAGGAATTGTTTTTTAGGGAATTTTCACCTAAGTTATTGAATTTGTGTACATAGAGTTGATCATAGTATTCCTTTATCATCCTTGGAATCTATAGTATTACTCTTGTTTTCATTTCTGATGTTAGTAATTTGTGTCTGCTCTCCTTTTTCTTAGTTAGCTAGGCAAGAGGCTGTTCATTTCATTGATCTTTTCACAAAAAAGTTTTTGGTGCCATTGATTTTATTCACTGATTTCTCATTTCAATTTCATTGATTTCTGCTCTAATTTTTATTATTTATTGTCTGCTTACTTTGGATTTAATTTGTGTTTCTCTTTCTAATGACTTAAGATGGAAGCTTAAATTATTGATTTTAGATCTTTCTTTTTTTTCTAACATATCTATACAGTGCTATAAATTTTATTCTAAGCACTGCTTTGTTGCATCCCACAAATTTTGACAAGGTGTGTGTTTGTTTTTATTTAGTTCAGAATATTTTTAATTTCTCAATGTCTTTTTTGACCCATATGCTATTTAGAAATGTGTTGTTTAATCTTCATGTATTTTGGGATTTTCCAATATTTTTTTCTGTTATTGATATCTAGTTTAAATTCCACTGTGGTCTGAAAACAGATAGTGGGTGATTTCTATTCTTTTAAATTTACAAACGTGTTTTGTGGCCCATAATGTAGTCCGTCTGTGTTCCATGTTAGCTTGAGATGAATGTGTATTCAGCTGGTGGATGAAGTAGTCTATAGATACCAAAGATGAGTAATTGATGGTACTGTTAAATCAACTATGTCCTTACTGGTTTTCTGCTGGCTGGATGTGTAAAATGATCTCAGACAGAGAGATGTTGACATCTCCATCTGTAATAGTGTGTTCATTTGTTTCTCCTTGTAACTCCATCAACTTTTGCCTCATACAGTTTGACATTCTCTTGTTAGACGGATACACATGAAGAATTGCTATGCCTTCTTGGAGAATATCCCTTTATCATTTTGTAACCCCCTCTTCATCCCTGACAAATTTCCTTGCCCTGGGTCGGCTCTGTCTGAAATTAATATCACTACTTCAACTTTCTTTTGATTGATGTTTGCATGATATATCTTTTCTTAATTTATTTCTAATATATAAGTTTCTTTATATTTAAAGTGTGTTTCTTGTAGACAACATATAATTAAGTTTTGTTTTTTGACCTACTGTGGTAATCTCTTTTAATTGGTACATATAGACCTTTGACATTCAGAGTTATTATTGATATAGTTGGATTAATGTCTACCATATGTTTTACTGCTTTCTATGTATTGCTCTTGTTCAACGTGTTCCTATTTTTGTTTTCCACTCTTTGTCTGCCTTTTGTGGTTTTAATTGAACATTTTGTATGATTTCATTTCCTCTTCTTTCTTTTCTGTTTTTGTTTTTTGAGATGAGGGTCTTGCTATGTTGTTCAGGCTGGCCTCAAACTCAAAAATGCCCAGGTGTTTTCTTTCTTAGCATATCAGTTATACTTCTTGTTTTACTTTTTTTAGTGATTGCCCTAGAGTTTGCCATATTCATTTACAACTAATCCAAATGAACGTTCAAATAACCCTATATTGTTAATACAAATACTTTTTAGTAAGAAAGTAATCACAATTCTTTCTTCCCATCCTTTGTATTATTATTTCATTCATTTCACTTACACATAGCGTAAATAAGTGCATATATATATAAGCATTTATAATAGAATACATTGTAAACAAAATGGTATCTGTTAAATCAATTAACGATAAGAAAAATAAGTTTTTATTTTGCCTTCACTTATTCCTTCTTCAGTATTCTACCTTTATGTAGATCCAGGTTTCTGACCCATGCCATTTTCCTTCCTTCCAAAGAATTTTTTTTAAGCATGTCTTTCAAGGTAGGCCTAATAGCTATAAATCCCCTCAATTTTTGTTTGTCTGTGAAAGTATTTCTCCTTCACTTTTGAAGGATAGTTATGCAGGTTACCTAATTTTAGGTTGGTGAGCTTTTTTTCTCTCAACACTTTAAATATTTTATTCCTTTCCATTCTTGCATGATTTCTTAGAAGTCAGATGTAATTCTTATCTTTGAGCATATATAGGTAAGGTGTTTTTTCTCCTGTGATCTATTTCAGGATTTTTTCTTTATCTTTTATTTTCTGTAGTTTGAATATGATGTGCCGAGCTGTGGTTTTGGGGGTATTTATCCTGCTTGGCTTTCTGTGAGCTTCCTGGATCTGTGGTTCTGTGTTTGACATTAATTGGGGAAATTCCAAGTCATTATTGTTTTAAATATATCTTCTGTTTCTTTCTCTCTTTGTTTTCTTTCTGGTAGTCCCATTAGCTGTATGCTTTTTTGTAGTTGCTCTAGATTTCTTGGATATTCTGTTCTTTTCTTTTTTTTCCCCCCTAATCTTTTTTATCTTTGCACTTCAATTTTAGAGGGTTCTTTTAAAATGTCCTCAAGCTTAGAGATTCTTCCCTCAGCCATATCCAGTCTACAATAAGTTCATCAAAGACATTCTTCATTTCTGTTACGGTATTTTGATCTCTGGCATTTGTTTTTGGTTTTTTTCCTCAGAATTTCCATCTCTCTACCCATCTGTTCTTGTGTGCTGACTGCTTTATTCCTAAAGCCCTTGACATATCATAGTTGTTTTCAGATCCCAGTCTGATGATTCCAACATCCCTGCCATGTCTAAGCCTGGCTCAGATGCTTGCTCTGTCTTTTCACATGTGAGTGTTTTGCCTTTTAGTATGCCTTGTGACTTTTTCTGGATATCTGGGTATGATGAATTGGCCCGCTATAAATAGGTCTTCCATAATGTGGTGGTAAAGGGCTAGAGAGGGGAGGTGCCTACAGTCCTGTGATCAAGTCTCAGTCCCTCAGTGAGCCTGCACCTTTGGGCTGTGAACTTCACAAGTGCTTCTCAGCATCCCTGCCTCCACCCTTATGTGGGACAGAAAGACTGGAATGGGCTGAAATTGGATCTTTCCTTCCCCTCTATAGGTTAGGCTCTGATAAAGCCCCAGCTGGTCAGGCTCTGGTAATCCTTTCTCCTGAGGACCGTCAACCTTGTTAAGAACAGAATGTTCTGGCATATTTCAGAATAGTTCCTTTTTCCTCCCTTTGCCTGGAGCACAAGGGAATTTTCTCCCGTATGTATTGTGAGAAACAGGTAGAACTGAATGACAGTGTATAGAAACTTCCCTTCAGCCGGGCTAAGTGGCTCAGCCTGTAATCTTGCACCTTTGGGAGGCTGAGGTGAGTGGATTGCCTGAGCGCACGTGTTCGAGACCCACCTGGGCAGCGAGACCTCATCTCTACAATAAATCAAAAAGTCAGCCAGGCGTGGTAGTGCATGCCTGTAATTCCGGCTACTTGGAAGGCTGAGGCAGAAGGATCGCCAGAGCCCAGCAGGTCGAGGTTGCGGTGGCCAGGAGCGGCCACTGCACTCCAGTCTGGGCGACAGAGTGAGACTCCAACTCAAAAAAAAAAAAAGAAACTTCCCTTCATGTCATACAAGCCAAAAAAGGAAAGAGAAAAATACCTTATAGGGACTGTAATATTGTCTGGGGACTGTATTATTATAGTATAGTAATGCATTTCTTGAATAAAATGATTTTATTCCAGTGATATAGGAGGGTGTTTTGTTCTTAGATAGCAGAATCTTAAGTATTTAGGGGTGAGATGTTAGGATGTGTGCAGCTGATTCTCAGATGCTTTAGGAAAGTGTGTGTGCATGTCTGTATAGGAGGAGGAAGGGAATATGGCCTAAAAGTAACTATTGGTTGTCTCGATACAGTTGTCATATTTTTCTTGCAACTTTTATGAAGGTTTGAAATTTTTTAAAACAATTGAATTAAAGTTTTAATTAAATAAGTTTAAAAATAAAATAACATTTATTCTCTTACTGCTTTAGGTAAAAGCCTTAACCCTGTTTGTCACCCACTATCCACCAGTGTGTGAACTAGAAAGAAGTTACTCACAGCAGGTGGGAAACTACCACATGGGATTCCTGGTCAATGAAGACGAAAGCACACAGGACCCAGGTATGAAATATTCCTGTGGTGGGTACAAGTAGCCTACTATTGGCTTTCATGTTTAGTAACTCAATGATCACAAGAACATGAACTTATTGCTTGTGAATAATGAAAGCTATGAATGTCAGTTATAAATGACATTTGTCTTTAGGAGGCCATGACAAGAAGATCGCCTGAAATCAGGTCAAGACCAGCCTGGGCAACATAGTAAGACCCCATCTCTAAAAAAAAAAAAAAAATTAGCCACGTGTGGTGGTACATTCCTGTAGTCTCAGCTACTTGGGAGACAGAGGTGAGAGGATCACTTGAGTCTAAGAGTTCAGTTGCAGTGAGCTGTGATTGTGCTACTGTACTCTAGCCTGGGTGATAGAGCAATAAAAAAAAAAATATATCCAAATTCATTTTTGCTAAGGTTTGGGTCAGGTGGAATTTTATATGTGTCCTGGCTGTCTCTGCATCTTCCGTGTTTTCCTAGTCTCATTTGCAATGGCAACCCCCCTCCCCCCCTTTTTTTTTAACAAGAAGAAAGTGGGGTGGAAGAAGACTTGGGTTTTCCTTCAGTGCCATACGCTCTTACGTGATTCATTACAGTTGAGTTCAGGGTACTATTAGTCATCTTGAAAAGTGCCCAGTGTTTTCCCCAAGTATCATTTAACATTAGCTTACTCAGAGCCACATGCTGTACTAGATGTGTGTTTTATCTTCACATGACAAGGAAGCCATCTGGGACAGGTGAGGTGGCTTGTGTGTGTCAGCCTCTGGGTGGGACTTGTGGGCCTAGACTCCTCTCCCTGGTTCTGTAGGAGCTGCCATGGGATCTACATGTTTCTCAGCCTTTCCAGTTAGTGCTAGTGTCAAAGAAATGAGACATTTTGTGAAGATAATTCCATTAACCGATCAAAATACATTTAAATCCCTAAGTCATACAGAAGTCTTAAGCAGCATGTTTTTTTTCTGTTCAGTAGTAGTTTTTTAAGCCAGCAACCCATACCAGGGGTGCTGTGCATGGGTGGTGTGCTACCATGGAAAATTCATTGTCCTGAACATTCCACAGTCCAGATTTTATTTTGGAAAACTAACAAGGATGAACCTGAAAAAGAAATCAGGCAACTGGCCCAAATTCAGTAAAGCATGGGACCTAAGATGGGGTTAACGTTAGGCAGCCCCTTTTCCCGCCTTAGAAAACACATCATAAATTCTCCTGTGCAAGGAGTTTGTGTCTGTTCATCTGTGGGGAATGACAGGAGGAGACAGGCCAAAGCCCACAGAACAGACAAGGTCGAGTGCCCCAGCAGGGACAACAGAGGTAGCCACTGAACCTGTGCTGTGCCTCACATGCTCTGGCATTTTAGTGTGTTGGTTTACATTTTTATCAGTGAACATAATTTTTAGATTAAATGATGCCTTGAAGGCTTCTGCTGACACTCTTATCCCCCACCCCACCCCACTGCAGCCCCCTGTTCCAGGCCTAGACTGTCCACATCTCTGCCCTGCTTCTAGAGGTCGTACAGTGTTGGGAGCTGGCCACGGAGGCCCACTGAGTGTTAGGGATCAGGAAGGGCTATTGACCCTGAGACCACTAGGATGCGTTCGGGAGCTATTGACCCCATTTCCTCCCCCTTTCTACTCAGCACTAACCAGATTAAGCTCCTGTGAGCTCAAAACATAGAAACTCTGAGACTGGGATGAACACAAGCTAACTTTAGAAGCTCATTGCTCCCATTCTTCCACAAACTGCAGTTTTGGATTTCACACAACTTATAATTCAAACTCGTGTCACATCTAAGAGCCTTAGTATTGGTCACAGGCTTCTGGGTCATGATCTTAGGATTTATTGAAGGTGCAAGCTTGCCGGAGTCGAGCTCCAGCCGGGTTCAGGGTACCCCAAATGTGGAGATGGCATCGGCGATTGGGGGGAAGAAGAGAGAAAGAGAGAGAGAGAGAGAAAGAAAGAGACTGGACTCCAGTCTAATGCAGAAGCGATGTGTGTTATTGGGAATTACAACGGGTCTTTTATACACAAAGTCAGATGTGGGAGGGGCA